TCCCATTATACTCCTTGGTGAGTGTTTTCAGTGTTTTTTCTGTATGTCTTGTGATAATCATGTGACTTGAGGTTTTTATTCTATTGATATGTAGAACTAATCTTGTATTCCTGGAACAAATCCCACTTGGTCATTATGTATAATACTTTTTACATGTTTCTGGATTTAATATGTGTCTGTCTGTGTGTGTGTGTGTATTTGCTTCCATATGCATGATATATTGGTCTTTTCTTTCTTAAAATGGCTTTGGTTGTGGAGCAGAGTAATAATGGCTTTACAGAATGAGTTCAGGGATTCTTCTTCATCTCGTTTTGGGGGAAAACTTTATGAAGAGTTGGTATTAGCTCTTTAAGTTTGGTAGCATTTACTTGCTATCTGGGGTTGCCTTTTCCTTGTGGTGTTTTTTTAATTACTGATCTAATATCCTGTTTTAGGTCTGTTTGGGACATCTACTTGAGTTGATACATTTTTTAAAAATTACTAATTCAATATCTTGTTTTAGGTCTGTTTCTATTTCTCTAGTAGTCTGTGTCTTTTCAGGCGTGTGTCTGTTTCTTCTCTTATCTAATTTACTGACATTCAGCTGTAATCCCACGTAACGCTTTGGACCTCAGCAGTGTGGGTAGTAACGTCTGTTGTTTCACGCCTGAGTTAGGAATATGAGTCTCCTTTAATCTCTTGGCCTGTCTGGCTTGTCAGTGGTGTGCACATTTTCAAAGAATTAACTTTTAGTTTACTGGTTTTGTCCGCTGTTTTTCTATTCTCTTTCATTAGTTTCCTTCTGATATTTATTATTTTCCCCTTTTTCTTTGCTTTAGATTTAATGTTCTTTTCTATAATCTTGAGATAGAAGGTTGTTACTGATTTGAGACCTTTCTGTCCCTCTCTCTCTCAATATACATATTTTTATATATGCAAATTAAAAATCACTGAGATTCTATCTTACTCCAGAAAGAGTGGTTATTGTCATCAAGAAATCAAGCGATAATACATGCTGATGAGGCTACAGGGCAAAGGGAACCCTTGTAAATTGTTGATGGTAATATAAACTTGTATATCAGTATGGAGATTCCTCAAAAACTTAAAACTAGAAATTCCATGTGATCCAGCCTAAAAGGGTTAAAGACATCATATTACAGTGCTGTGTGCATACCCATGTTTACAGCAGCAAATTCATAATAGCTCACTCTTGGCGGCCTCTATGTCCATTGGCAGATGAATGGATAAAATAAATGTATTTATACATAATGGAGTACTTCTCTGCCATAAAGAAGGACACACTTGAGTCATTCATAGGAAATGGATGCACCTTGAGACCACAATGTTAGTGAAATAAATGTTAGTGACATAAGCTTAAATAATGCATGGTTTCTCTTGAGAGAAACCCAAAATATAAGCAAAGAGCACATAAAAGTTAACAGGAAAGGGAAGCTAAATCTTTTGCAAAAGGAAAGGGACCAAAGAGATGAAAGGTGGGGGTAAGGAGGTGTCTTAGTTACTTTTCTCTCATTGCTGAGAGGAACACACCCAACACTCAAAGCTAAGGGAGGAAAGATTTATTTAGCTCACAGTTTGTACAGGTTTCAGTTCATAGCTGACTAGCCGTAAGGCAGGGTTGCACATGCAGAGGGGCAACAGCTCATGACCACAGAAGACAGCAAAAGCAACAACTGACCCTCAACAGCATCTTTCTGCCACTTTTGTACTCTGTCCCTGCTGTGGGATCAGGGCGGTGCCAGTCCAGTCAGTGGGCGGAGCCAGCCCAGTCAGTGGGCGGAGCCAGAAACCACCCACTGGTAATCCCAGCCCTGCACACATTCTAGATTTAGTCCTCGCCAAAAGGGTCTGTCTAAAACTGCGTGAGGCTTTGGGAGACATGTGGACACAGATGGACCGGGAGGGGAGGGGAAGGAGATGAACAATCAGGAAGTGTTGTGTACATGAACAAACTCTCCATAAGGAACAGAATCATAACGTACTGCAAACACGTGCTAGTAAAAATAAATAAGTATGAGTCCTCGTGACCAGGGTTTGAGAAAATGAAAGTACAGGGAAGAGAAATCAAGAAAAAGTTTATTTTAAAAAATCATTAAAAAATACTTGTGTTAAAAAATAAAGATGCTTGCTCTTAGACCCTTTTAAAGTTAAAAAAAATAAGCTCCCTAAATTTGGGGGGGTCACGCCCGTCCTCTGAACCCGGAACACCCCACTGGAACGGAGCAGAATGAGACTGGCCTGCCAGGGCTGCCCTCTGTGGGCCTGTTCTGTGCCAGCATGATTACAGATTTCAAAAGGAAAAAACACGTTTTAAAAATAGACTTCGTTCCGTCCTGAGCAAGGGTCCCGTTTGATCTTTCCCTGTGTCTGAGCCCACTTCTTGTCCTGAAGGACGAGTGAAAGCCCAGAACGCCCACTGGGTGAGAAAACCTCATATTTGCTGCCAGTTTTCTGTCACTGCCTTGAGCTCCCAGGGTTCAGCGAGGTGAGGGCAGTGTGACCTCTCCACGGCTGTGCGCTGGCACCAGTCCCGGGGGCCCTCCGAGCTGCAGCCCGGCAGCTTCGGAGCAGCCCTTCCTCACTTTTTGAACAGGCAGCCAATTTGGTTGCAGGAAACCCCTCGGCAGCGCTGGCCGTGTTTAGGAGTCATTCTTAATTCTGTGACAAGGACAAATGTATCCTGCGGGAATCGTAAGTGGTTTTACTGGTGATATTAATGGAACCGTGACCTCTTCTGTATCTATGGTCCTACAAAACAAAATATGTTTGTATTATGTCAGGCCAGTTTATTCTCAGTCCCTTCCTTAAAGCAGATTGCTGAGGAAATATACTATTAATAAGCCCAGCGAATACTGTGCCTGTGCACACACATGTGTGTGAGGGCCTGCAGTCATGAGTTCATTTGCAGATGCAGGAGGTGTGTGTCACTGTTGACGGTCAGACAAATGATAGAGTGTAGGTTGTGTTCGGATGGGCACAAGTCATTGAAATTCTGGCATCTTCGAACATAATTATTGGGGGCCCAGTACTGAAATTGGAATTGGCTTTTAGAGGCCAATAGCTGTAGGAAATTCAAACTTGGGGATCCAAAGAGACAAATGGGAGAAACTCAGACATGTTACATTAGCCTTTTCTATGTGCACTCGGAACTGGCATTTCAGGATCCTAGAAATGACCACACTAATGGCTCACTGTTTCCTGTAGGAACTTGTGGGCCCGTGACCTTTGTTGAAAATCGTTGCTTAATGAAGCATAAAGGGGTTACAGCCTAGTTAAATGGATTAAACCATGCCTGGTGTTTGTGTTTACTTGAGTTCCCAAAATAGACAAATATATACTCACAAGAAGAAAGAAAAGAACAATCAAATCCCAGTAGTCTCTGAGTATCTAGCTCAGCACCTCCATTAGGAAGAAAAATTTAATGCTGAGAAGGAATCCTTGCCTCCATTTAATCAACTGTGCTTCTTTACACAGGTTTTGTACCTACTCCTAAACATACAACTTTGTTAATTGGGACATTTATAATTTGAGATTTAACCTTAATAATTAAAATTACTGTGACCATGATCATTCTAGAAAAACTAACTATAAGAAGGAAATTAAAAAATAGCCGATAAGGCTACCACCCAAAGATAATCACTGTTAACATTTTCATGATTTGTTTCCAGGTTTCTTTTGTCCCTATGCCTCTGTCTGAAAGCGAGGTGTTTTCAGGAACAGGTCTCTTTGAGTCTGTCTGTCTGTTACTACCTTCCTGCGGATCCCCGCAATCTCTGCCATTCCTTGACTTGTGATGTCACGCCAGCCTTGGCCTTGGTCTCCATGTGGCTTTCTTCCTGGACATGTATCAGTCAACAACTGTTTCCAAATTGGGCCACATTGGAAGTATAGGGGAGTTTGGGCTTCAGCTGTTTTCTTTTTGTTGGTAGTGGTGGTGGTGGTGGTATTTTGGGGGGCAACCATTGCCAGCCGACTGCTTTTTTTCTACAAGTTACTTTCCACTCACCATCCAGAATGAGCTTCTTAACCCACAAAGCTGATGCAGGATCTGTGAGCAGGGGTGGGTGCGGGGGTGGGTGGGGGCGCTTATTTCTTTCAGGTCCAGATGGATAGAGCTCGCACAGAACTTATTTGGGGTATGTAAGGCCGGAGCTGGGACAAGCAGGGTAGATGGGGACACAATGACTCCTGAAGAGACGGCTTCCTAAGGATGTCAGTGGGTTCTTCAGGGTCAGGGCCAGGGCTGCGGTACACAGTGGGGCTGTTTCTACAAGGTTCTGATGTTTGCTCTGGTTCCTCAGGGAGGCAAAAGGGGCTGTCTGACTCTTCCTTGCCTCTGAGGAAGGCTGGATGCCATACTTTCCAAGGAGAAATTCCAGTGATTATTAAAAGCTTTTTCCAGATCCCTTTGTGGGCACTTGTACATACTTGGTTTTTGCTCTTAGTAGATAAGCAGCGTGTATTGAAGAAACAGACTTAATATGCGCGTGAAATTCTCAACTCTGATTCTCCTGCTTGTTCCCCTAAGCAGTTCAGACATTCTAATAACAGACTACCAGGAAAGGTCTAGAAAACCTGTCAAGGCTGCTGTCACCCGAATGTTAGTTCTTTTCCCAACTCCTGCAGTGTCACTGACTCTCCAAACAGAGTGGACTTTGGTTACTGCACTGGTGGCCTTTGAGTTGTTGTAAAGGCTCTGAATGTATTTCCTGGAGTGCTCAGCATAGCTGCAATTAAGGAGTTTAAGCAGAAGTCAGTGATATGTCATATCACTGACATATGTCAGGGCAATCCCACAGCAAGCCAAAAACTGAGTAAGAAATTAGGTTTTTCTGAAGAAATTTCATTTTCCAAGCAGGAACACAGAGTGTCAAATTCAAAGACAAAGATCATGAAAGTATTTTAAGGAGAAGATGGTGTGATGCTTGAATGACCTCATCAGCTATACAGTCCACATGTTTGTATTTCAGTCACTGATGTATTTGTAATTTTTTCTCATTCAGACGCAAATCAGCCTTTCGTAGAGATGCACCATGATATACCCGAGGTGTTATACTTGACAGAAGGAGAGGAGCTTATCATTCCCTGCCGGGTTTCATCACCTGACATCAATGTTGTTCTTCAAAAGGTAAAACTGACCAGTGCTCATCTCAGGATATTTTTACTGCAAATGAATACAGTGATTGAACCATCTTGTCTCCTGGAACAATTTCCTTACCAACCTGGGGGCTTCTCAGGGCAGTGATGTGTAACATCCTTCAATAGCAGAGACATGCTTGGAGTGGTAGCCATTCATGTGCTCTATTTCAATAGAATAAAATGGATTTAGCCGTAAGGATAAATCTACGAGAATGCGTAAAATCATCAACATTTATTTGTGTGTATTGTCACAAACCCAAGGGTCTGAAAATGTCAGAAAAGTAATTTTATTGCTTCTACAAATTAGTAACCTGGCAGACTAGCTCCTTCAGATTACTCCAGAGCTAGCCATTCTCCAGGGACTGACATGCACTGGCTTTATGCATCGGAGCCATCACCTCTTGTTTGAGTTGGGGAGTATCTCATGACAAAAGCCTTAACACCTGCTGGGCATCTAGTTGTAGGTTAAAAAAAGGGGGGAAGAGAAGAAGTCACCATGAGGCTTTCCTTTGTATTACATTGTAAATTGTGTACGTGGAAAAGAAAACACGGTAGAATTAATAAAGACAAAACTAAAATGTGACATTCTAGTTAATTTGTCAGACAAATCTGGAAAGGCTGGGATGTAGCTCAGTGATAGAGAGCTTGTCTAGCATGCATAAGACTTGGGTTCAGTCTCCAGCAATACACACACACACACACACACACACACACACACACAATATACTAGGACTAAGAATTTTTTGTTTGTTTTGAGAGGGGGTCTCACTGTGTCCCAAAGGCCGGCCTCAAACTTGCAGCCATCCTCCTGCCTCATGCCGCCCGAGTGCTGGGGTTGGAGGTATGCACCATGACACCTGCTTAGGACTGGATAAAAATTCCCAATGTGGAAAACCATACTAAATTCTGAGAGCTTAGAGTTTCAAGACAAAACTCCCAAACCTCACACCATCAACCACACATGAGGTGGTGAAGAAGTGAGTGGCGGTGGTGACGTTGGGGAAGTCTGAAGCGTGGTTCCCATCTGTGACCCGGAGTCCCGAAGTGTGACGAGATGTCCCCTGTCTTCCTGCTTTGCATCACTCTCCTATGTTGTTGATGTGACTTACACCTACACAGATCATTAGGGACAGTCTTCAACTCTGTCACATCTGCGTGCCATTGTTAGAAAAATATAAACTAATTGGATACCAGCAGATCCAGCGAGGAGTTAAGCTTTGTTCCTTACCCACTTCTCCAGGGGTTCAGTTTGCACTAGAGGAAGGCCCGTGCAGCTCAAAGCAGAGGCTTGTCACACTCCCTGGATTGTCCTCACACTGCCACTTACCTGCTGGCAAACCCAGCTCCTCTCTATCTCCTTTCTCCCACTGGAGAACCCGAGGGATCACAGTGGTTAGGGTTAGGGTTAGGGTTAGGGTTAGGATTAGGGTTAGGGTAGCACCTCACATGGTCACTGGAAGGCCAAGTGATGCAGTACTGGAAGCACTTAGCATCTGGTGCGTGCCAAGCCTCATTCAAGGGTCAGTTACAGTATTATTTATTTAACTCCAATCTTACTGGCAAGTTAGATTTTCAGCTCCGTGGTGTTATTCCTCTTAGTTGGAGGTTGTAACTGCTACCTGATTAACATGGAAAACCATGGAGACAGGGAAATTTCATGCAATTTCTACTGCTGGTGGTTTTCAGTCACAGGAACATCTCAATCAGGAATTTTGGTTTGGACCTGTACAGATGCTGAAGACACCTACAACATCCTCACCTATCATTTGTGCTGATACGAAATTAACATCTTTTCTTCCCATTTCTCAAATTGTCCCTTTTCTCCTAATGTGCTGTCCCTTCCCTTCCCTTTCCCCATGCCTGCTGTGGTGCAGCCACTGTGAGCTGGAGATGGCCCTCCCTGCCGGGAACCTTGTCTCCCTTCCTCTGTGACATGTGGCAATGGCCGTAGCCAATTGTGTTTTGGCTTTTGTCAGCTGAAAACAAAGTTACTTTGTGAATGGAGCAGTGTTGGTGATGGCAGTGGATGACTGGCTGTAAAAAACCCTTTGAAGGAAATGTTAATGTTTTGCAGTCGCACTGAGGAAATGGGTCAGCAAGCATTTCTTTTAGGTTTGTCACATGCATATTTTTGCTGACTTTTAAAGCATCGTAGGCTTTGATTCCTGAGTTGTATTTTTCTGAGTTTTTTCCTTAACTGTTCGGGCCAAATTAGAAAAAAAGGTTTTTTTCCCCCCACTGAATGCAAGCAGTCCTACGCTACCAGGTAGAATATTGATATACTGAAACATGAAGGGAATCCTTCCCTGGCTTTCAGTGCTTGATAAACAGGATATAATTAGCCTAAAGCCAAGCAGCACTGGAAACCCTTACTGGAAAAGAGGCAGTAATGATCTTTGGACTGGAAGTTTCTGTTAAGGGTTACAAATCTAGGTGGACAGCTTTATTTGTGAATAAATGAGAGAGATGTAGGTGTACTCTTTGAAAGGATTTCAAACATCCTAACGGATGTTGGGCATTTCCTTTCGAATCTGTTGGGCAAAGGTAATCTATTTTTTTCCTTATTCTCACAGAGGATAAGTAATAGCTTATAGCTCAGGGGTATAGCTTAGTAAGTGTGAGAGCTGAAGTCCATTCCTGGCACAATGAAAAGAAAAAGTTCTGGATATTGGGAGAAGGTATAAAGAGCAAAGTAACTCATGTATTCTTTACTTCAATGTGCAGTCTATGCTCGCGAACACTCTTAAGAGAAGGGGTGGCGTTCACAACAGTGTCTTACCCTCCAGAGCATCCCCGTCCCCAAGGCAGAGCCCACAGCACCCCTGCAAGGCCGCAGGATATGGCAACCCCAGCAGATGCCACGCTCATGTGAAGAGTTGTGGAGGACCCTGGAGTTACTGATAGAAGCTCCCTCTTTAGTGAGCCATGCAAAGCAGGAAGCCAGGTGATGGCTCGTGAAAACTCTAGAGGATGAAGACCCATGAGAGTGACCTGGTAACCGCAATGGGAAGCATGCTAACTGATTTTTCTATTGAGCACCAGGCCTGTTTACCATAAAGAGTCGCAGAGGCCAAGGAGTCGCAGGCTCCCAGTAGAAGTCTGACACGATCCCTAGCTCAGCCTTAGATGAGTGCAGCTTATTGCCCAGGCTGATAATGTTACCATAGTAACTTATCACATAGAATAACATATCTTGTTATGTGCAACGAAAAAGAATCATTGACGAAGACGATACTGTTTAAATGAAAATTATGTTTGCACTAATGACCAGCGAAACAGCACTGATAATGATTTTATTAAAGCATGTCTCTTCCTTTTCAGTTTCCACAAGACATTCTGGTCCCTGATGGAAAAAAAATAATTTGGGACAGTAGGAAGGGTTTCATAATAACCAATGCAACATACCGAGAAATAGGGCTGCTGATCTGTGAAACAAAAATCGACGGACATTCTTATTCTTCAACCTATCTCACACATCGACCAAGTAAGTGACAGTCCAAAGGCACATGAGCTTGCCTCAGAATGCTCCATGGCTTGCCTGCCAGTGAGTTCATGGTGTTTAAGATGTTTTCTCTTTTATACTTGTAGGCAACATAATCATGAATGTCCAGATGGGTCCAGCAAATCCAGTGAAACTGCTCCGCGGTCACCCTCTGACCCTCAACTGTACAGCCACAGCTGCCTTGAACACAAGAGTTCAGATTATCTGGAATTACCCTGGGAAGGTGAGTGACCCATTTTTCTGCTCATTCGGCAGTACGCGATTTTGTCTTAGCAAGTGAAACCCTACTGGGTTTTTGAGATAGGGAAAAACCAGAAAAGTTCTGGCTCCGGTGGCAGTGCTTATCAATAAAGAAGCTTCAGGTGGGGATAGGATGCTTTCCTTGCCTGGCATCTCATGAATGCGAGAGGCACAGACCCTGTCTTTTCATGTCTGCGTGTTTTGTTTTGAAGTGTATTGGCTGCTGTTTGTATCACATGGTTCTGAGTGGGAAAAGGGATCGTTTCATCCTTGGAAATGGTGCTTTAGGCTTTAAGAGATGAGAGGGAAATTTATCACTGCGTGCCAGGCATAGGGACTGTCTTTTGTAATAACAACTTTTCAGGAAGATGTCTTTGTCAGCGCATTCATTTATGGGACTGGGAGACAGGCAGGCTCCTGATTAGGGCATGTTTGGAAAAGATACCGCAGCCCAGCTATCCAATATTCCATCTGTTGAGTGTCAAAGGAGCAATTCCATCCTTCAGAAAAATGAGAAGAATGAACGCTGATCAGGTTCTCTTATTCAAGTGGAACATCTTCGCAAACAATTATTTTTTAAAAATGGATGGAGGGGGAAACTGTAAGAACATTCTGACCACAGTCCCTATTTCGTGAGTGTCAGTGTGACTTACATTGCATATTCCAAATACAGTCATCGATATGTCATTGCGGTTGCCCAATCACCAAGTTAATGCATAATTAAATAATCTACAAAAGATTAATGCCTCAGCCCCAAGCTATTGTTATTGACATTTCTCGCCAAGGAAATAGGGTAACTTAGCAACAGAAAGATGTAACAAGTACCCTGAAAGGAAGGGAGCAGGGACCTATCAGTTATAAGCTGTTTTCTAGGAAATAGTGTAATTTCATTGAAATAAAAATGCTATGAGTCACCATAATATTTCTTGGGTTGTGATAGAAATCAGACATTCTCAGTAAATACCAAAAGGGAAGGAACTTTTATCCTGTTAGTGATGCTGCTATAAATAAGAGTTTTTATAGTATATCTATCAAATGCCAATAATTTTCTTAAAAGTTACTGTCCAACAGACTAGTTTGTGATGGAAACATTCTATACTTGAGCTGGCCGATAAAGGAACCACCAGCCACATATGGACAATGAGCATTTGAAATACAGCTAGCTTGACTTAGGAAATGAATTTTAAATTTTAACTTAAATAGCAAGTTGTGGCTGGTAGCTGTAGCATTAGACAAAACAATCCTAAAACACAAGACAAATCATTTTTTCAGGCAGAAACAGTACCAGTGTTCCTGCAACTTGGGAAGAGGAGTTCACAAAGGGAGAAGCAACACCCACACAGAGCTGCAGGAGGTCTTAGGCTGTCATGTTAGGAGACTGAGTCAATGACTTTTAATGGAAGTAGCTGGCTTTTCTCTCTGGTGACTGAGACGGAAGGAAAGGGCCTAACATAGTCTGTGCCACCAGGAATGAAAAACTTAGGTGTGGAATTTATTAAACACGGCAAAGTGAAGACCTGACTTCAAGATCCAAAGCCAAGTCTAGGGAGCTCCCAAAGCCTTGTTCCCGTCACCCACTACCAAATCCACAGGAAGACACTGAAGGGAGGAAATGACACGTGGTGTGTTATGAAATGGACAATGAGAAGGCAATGTGATTTCGTCTTTTTAAAACGGGAATGGGCTTCTGTGCCCCGTTCGGGTCGCTGAGCCTTGAGCTCTCCTTTGGTCTTTTCTGGACGAAGCCTAGATAATGACTAAACTTGTCTGGGAGTTTGCATACCCAGCTCCGTGTATTAGAACTTAGCACAAGTTGTCAGAAATTGCTCAGGCAGTGGAGTACATGAGGAGTATTCCATGTTAGTGTGCCTGATTAATTTTCAGCAGTGGCAAAGGCAATTCACATGGTGATTTATTAAGAGAAACTGTCATTAAGTCAGATACTAAAACAAAACCTTGCATGTTATATAACGTTAAGAACAATGACTTCTGCTACACATGTCATATATTTTCTTTGCAGAAAACTGGGAGAGCAACTATAAGGCAACGAATTGACCAAAGCGATCCCCTTGCCAATGTGTTCCACAGTGTTCTTACTATTCCAAAAGTGCAGAGAAATGACAGGGGACTGTATGCCTGCCACGTAAAGAGTGGACCTTCGGCCCAATCAGCTAACACCACCGTGCAAGTGTATGGTAAGTAGCAGTTCAGTGCTGCTGGTCCTGCTAGGTTTTCTAGGCATTATAGACTTCGGATTCAATAAATGGTCAATGTTCTGGCCAGTAGATACCCTGTCATTTATGAATACAACCTTATCACAGGTCACTCCTCCCTGCCTGGAAAAAAACCAGTGACACTCAGTGATCTTTAACACTTTTGGAAAGTATTTCTTTAGAAGTTTATGGTTAAAAACTGAAGTCATATTTATGAAATTCCTCACTTAGTGTTCCTTATAAACAAAAGAAAAAATGACACTGTTTTTACCTTTACCATCTGGGAATGTTTTCTCAAGTACTACCATAGAGAAATACAAATGTGGTGTGACAAATTAGTTAGAATTAAGAGTTTTAAAATACTGTTTTATCTCTAGTTTTATTATCATGGAATCTTATAGTGTTGCCTGATTCCAGTACGCAGATTATGCAAACAAAATGCTAAAAACTTTATATCCCTTGTTGGAAAAAAATGATGTGAAGAACAGAAACTATGGAACTGTTTTTAAGTCTTTTCTGTCTTTTTGGCTGTCTCTAGGTTATTTGTGATATCAAATTACTTGAGTCCACGGTGGCTTTCTTTTTATTTAGCTCTTCTTGGTCAGGTAGACTTTTAGAAATATATTCCCATTTTTTTTGTCATCGTGAAATGGTTATTTCAGGTGTTCTGTTTACCTGCCATGTTTTATGTCCTCAGGACTTGCTACCATTTGATTTGAAATAAGGAACTTTCTAAGCATTTTATTCATGGATCCACATTTAGGCTCACCCATAGGCACTATCATAATTCAGGACTGTTTAATCAGGACTGCACCCTCCCTAATGAGGCTGCGAGGCTTTGTTTACATATTGTATGCTAATGTTCTTATCACTTCTCCTTTGAAAGGAAAGGCATTCATCTCTGTGAAACATCGGAAAAAGAATGTGTACGAGACTACGGCTGGAGAACAGTCCTTCGAGCTGTCCGTGAAAGTGAACGCCTTCCCTCAGCCAGAAGTCTTATGGTAGGACCACGGTCATTTTCAGAGCTGTTTAAAATGTGCCTGATAAGTGGGAGTTACAAATGCCCAGGGACTTAAGAAAACTATCAAGAACAGTTGCAGGAGCAGCCCTGGAGAGCTAGGCTGTGTTGATTTCCTGGTGGTGGCGGCCAGGTGGGCAAGGGAGACAGTATGTGCATCAGGGTGACACTTTCGTTTTTCTCTTTTTAATCAGTGCACATTTCAGTTTAGTCTGTCCCTCCCCAACACTAAATGTCTGCACCTCCAAACTTTGCTGTTACATCAACAGTCTTTGAATGGAACGTGCCAGGCAATAACTAGGAAACATCTCGAATGTGTAACATGCTCTATTAACCCTGAAGAAATGAGCCCTTGTACTGAGGATGCTGAAAATAATTCTTTTATATACAGCTGTGTTGGAAGTTCCAGTCTTGTTTTAAAATTAAACATTAATAGAGACAGGACTTACTCATTTGTGGGAGTGGACAAATACTACTTTTTTTCCCCTTGGCTTGAAGGAGGCATATTCAAAAATTCCTTAAGCCATTTAAAAAAAAAATTAGTACAGCATCTGATCTAAAACAATGAATTCTAAAGTCATTTTGCTAAATTAGTTTTGAATGTCAATATCTTTGGCTTAAGTCATTACATTTAAACAAAGGGTATATGGCAAAAAAAAAAAAAAAAAACTAATTAGGAAAACAATCCCTGTAATATAGGAGTTCTGTCTTTTGGGAATCTTTTCATCCGGAGCTTATTTGGTCTTCACTATCATATTACTGGAGTATTTTCTTCTAAGTTTTCCCAAATACTTAAGAGAAAAGTTAAACTCTACACTATGCCTTCATGCCATAGCAGTGGAAAAGGCACTTTTTCTTTTATAATATCTGAAAGGGTCAGTAGTAAGTTATTAAATTTAATAGGAATTTAATGGCCAGAAGATACATTTACTCATTCTGTATGGGCGTACTGTCATCGGTTAATGTTGATTTCCTCAACAACTAAGTAGCCAGGGCTACTTGAAAATATTAAACCCACCTTCAGCAATGAAGCCCTGTTCATAGGAAGTAATGTAAATTAACACTCAAATCATACTTCCCATCACAAACTATAGCATTTTAACTGCTTTGGGACTGAGACTCACGGATAATGGGAATTTATTTGTAGGACTGTGTAGCATGATTATGAACTGATATCATTTGTATTATTTTACCTCTTTAGAGAACACAACAAACTCGTACCAGATCAAAATGCCCCGTTAAGAAACTGTGCACTGGGGGCTGGGGATTTAGCTCAGTGGCATAAGTGCCTGCCTTGCAAGCAGGCAGTCATGAGTTTAATCCCTGGTACCGATAAAAAGGAAAAAGACCAAAAAAAAAAGAAAGAAAGAAAAGAAAAAGAAACTGAAATAAAACCATAGAATTTTAGAGTCAAAAGGGATCTTTGAAAAGTTGAGGTGTGCAAGGCTCAAACTGGCCATCACCCATGTGACTGCTCTTACTGAAGGAGCCAGCCAAACACCTAGGATTCGTGACTCTCACCTCTGTGAGCAACTCAATGACACCAAGGCACTAAGTCTATATTTAAAATACCTGAAAATTATTTTAAGTTTATAGTTTGGTGCCTCAGCAGTGGTCTCTCAGGGAAAATATCTTGATTTCACTATAGTCTTGCCAGGAAAGGGACAACCGGTGACCATTTATGTAACTAATAAGAACTCCACATGAGACCACAATAGGACTGTCTTATTTTTATTTTTATCTGGAGAGGAGATCTAGTTGATGTGACTTACAATGGCTCTTGAACCTTTTGTGGAACCTCCTGGGAAACTGACAAATACTTGATGGATTTAGAGCCTGGACCTCTGAGCTCCCAGTTAAGTCACAGCAGCCCCTGGGGATGGATGACATCCCCATGGATACACTTAAGTCACCACTTCTCTCTCTTCCCTTGGTTTACTTCTTCTTTGCCAATAAATATGAAGAAGTAACCAGTCTAAAAACCATATGCTTTTACTGAAATGTTGGTACTCACATCTTAAAGATCAATGCTGATGATCCGAGGGTCCAAGCTGATTAACAAGCTCATAAACGGAATCACTGTGGCAGCGGAGAGCCCTGGGCAGTGACTTACTGATCGTGTTTTGAACAACAGGCTGAAAGATGGTTTACCTGCAACAACGAGATCTGCTCGTTATTTGCCTCATGGCTATTCATTAATTATCAAAGATGTAACTCCAGAGGATGCAGGGATTTACAAGATCCTTCTAAGCATAAAGCGGCCAAAGATGTTTAAAAGCTTCACTGTCACTCTAATTGTAAATGGTAAGTTTATGGCGCGTGCATTCTTTGGGTTGTAGTAAGGGGGAAATTAATGAAAATTTGTCAATTCAAGAGTCACTGTCAGGGTTTGGGGATAGAACTCAGTAGCAGAGAACTTTTCCAGTGTGCCTGAGGCCCTGAGTTCAGTCCTCAGCAAAGTCAGTATAACAATACCAAAGAAAACAAAATTTCAAATAATTATTTTACAAACCACTTCTGTTACCATCAGAGCTACTTCATGTTTGCTGGTCTTCACAGCAACATGGTTATTAGTGCAATCATGGGGTAGGTACCATGGAATCAAATTATTAATGTTCTTGTTCTCAACACACTTGTGGTTTTAAAAAATAAGCATTTTCTTGACTGAAAAGAAGGGGGAGGGTATTTGTGCTTTTGTTTTCCTGATACCAACCCCAGTAGATTGTGGCCCTTCCTGTGAGGCCTGGGAGAGAGTCGGAACTGCTTTTGACCTTCATCCTGTTCTTTCTCTCTTTCCAGTGAAACCGGAGATCTATGAGAATGCCCTGTCGTCATTTCCAGAACCAAATCTCTACCCGCTGGGCAGCAAGCAGAGCCTGACCTGTACCGTCTCTGGAGTCCCTCAACCTACAGTGCAGTGGTTCTGGCAGCCCTGTGATCACTTTCCCTTCATGGCAGGGTAGGTGGAGTTAGTATTTGTGTCACTTTCAAATAGTTTTTGCTACCATGAATGAAGATTCTTTGACACAGGTGGGAGCTTACAGACAGAACATTCAGTGTACTTGGGGAAAGACTTTGCCTACTTTGGAAAGAGGTAGGCAACAATCACTCCTCCTCCTCCTCCTCCTCTTCCCCCTCCTCCTCCTCCTCCTCCTCCTCCTCCTCCTCCTCCTCCTCCTCCTCCTCCTCGAATATTCCTGCTCCTGGCTCCCCGTTGCATCATTGGGGAACACAGAAATGGAATGACCTGTGAGCCCTCTTACTCAGGCTAAGACCTCAGTGCTTGTTCCCCAGTTGAGTGTCTTCAGACCTTAGCTACACCAATTGGTTAGTTATACTGATCTTCCCATTTTTCATTGGATTGTCCAAGGTCTTCCCAACACTAACAATCACTCTGTTTCATCTTTGAGGCGTTGTGTATATTTTTCCATGTCTCTGGAATGGGCTTCCTCCCACTGGCCGCCTCCTCAGATGCCTTCCTTTATCAAACTCCAGGCTTAGTTCTCACATCCCCTTCTCTGAGAATCTTCATCATTGTCCCATTCAGACTTATTTCTTCCTCTCGGTGTGAAAACTGTGTTGTTACAACATTGTTATGTATGCTCATTTATCTGTAAAGCTGTGAGCTAACTGCTCGGTATATTCAGGGCTGGGCAGAGTCTGGCACACATTAGATGTTTAACATGCACCAGAGTATTCAATGAATGAATGAATACTTCCCTCCCCTTCACACATACGCAGCATTTCCTTGCATGTCTCTGTGGCTGAACACTGTTGCGCTTTCCTTTTGTTTAGTCTAGAAGGGTGGTACCAATGATAATTCAGGAGACAGTTTGCAGGATGGGAATAGAATCAATAGGTGCACCAGTGAGTTCTTGAAACTGGCTAAGAATTGTCATTCTTCCAAATGTCTCTCTTATGGTTTTTAACTTTTGGAGTGTTTGAAAGGGTTGCTATTTTTAAAAAATTAGTCTGATTTTTTAAAAAAAAGTAAACAAGGCATAATTTTAGCATCAACAGAAGTGCCTATTTGGTGTTCTAAATTCTTTCCTGAATTTCAACTCTTCATCTGCATCTTAATCCTCCTTTAGGGTGTAGTACGCTGACGATGGAAAGTTACTGGTGAGTTATGGAATTCGTAAGAAGTAGCTGTTTCCACATATGTCTGGCTTGTCACTCGATTGTCTTTTTCTAAGAATAGAATTACAGAGAAATCGCAAATCTTGGATATCTTTTTTTACCACTATGGCTCTTTCACTCAAAACATAGATGTACTGAGATTTTGTATTATTTTACTAATTTCAGGTAGGCATTCATATTTGCGCTAACATGCAAGTAAATTAAAAATAACAGAAGTTATTATTTTAGGCTAAAAATTTTATGGAGTAATATAGCCTTTGAAGGTATTTTAAAATGTTTTGCTCTAAAACTTCAATTTGATCTTTATTACATTTCAGTAGTAACTATATTAAAAAATAATTGAATGATAAGGCACTATTATAAATTTGAAGTTGAATGATATAGTAAGATTTGGGGACTAAGGCAAGCTGAAATGAGACTAAATATTAGCCACCTTTTCAATTTCTTCAAAGTATGCTGGATTTTTCATTTTATGGCGTATATTCAGCATAACCTGGAAATATATCTTACTCCTTTTGGACTTACTTTGAGAATCAGTGTTTGCTGATCATCTGAATTATTCTGTTAAGGCCATTCATGATTCTCATAAGACAGGTCAGAAGTGAAAGCATACAGTGTTTTCATGCAGGTTCATTTCAGTGTTGTTGCTTGAAATTATCTGCCACAAAAGCACACAGCTAGCAGCAGGTCTCACTCTTTACGTGACCAGGTGCTGACCCAATAGCCTACCTGTGGCAGGTATGAGCTTCACAGTAACACTTCCATAGAGGACTAATACATGATCTTCTGAAAAACCTGAAAAACTAAAATATATATATTTATTAAAAATATATATATAAAATATATATATATAATCTTACTCTTCAAAATGTGGAATGATTTTTAGTATTTTAATCTGAGGCTCTAGTCAAAGGACACACCAAAGCAATAATTTAGTTTTGAGCCTAGACTGTATAAGTAACTTGAAATCAGTAATAGCTAGCTTATGTGTCTAAATTAGTATAAGAGGTTCAGACTTAAACTGTGTCACTCCTACAATACATAAATATGTAAGTATATTTTAAAACAATCAGGATGACTGCTCAACTAGAAACGTCCTCCTTTTAAAAAATGTACGATGTCTTATGCAAATAGGCCGTGTTTTAACTGAGTAATACTGTGGGTTTTTTCAGCCTACAATTTGTTCTTATGAAACATTAGTAAGAAGTCCCGCTGTGGTATTGCATAGTAGAGAGACTAAAGATTACAGTTATGTACTGTATATCTCGGAAAGGTATAAGAAAAGCTGTTGAATGTTTTTACCATAAGAAACGATAAATAAATGTTTAAACAGATTTAAATATTGCACAATACATAAACATATTGAGATATGTACCACATTAGTATGGATGATTCATTTTTTTAAAGAAACATTAAGAATTTTATTATGGATTAATTAATTAATTAAGTTCATTAATTACTATGGATTAATTAAATTAATTAATCAAATAATGATTATTTAAATTCACATAGATAATAAGCCAAAGTAAAGCAGAATTTCTCCCTTTTACTTTTCTTGGATGGTAAGGTGTTAGAAGCAGGATATTTCTTTTCAGTTTCTAGTAATATTAAATTATCAACACAGATGAGGCGGAAGTTTTGGATTTTTCTGGTAGAGACTTCTAACTATATACTGGTAAACTTGCTCTGTGTTAGGCTGGCACAAACCTAGGAAGCAGCCAGAGGGGTGCTAAGCTTCCAGCACCTTTCATATATCTACAGTTTACAGCCCAGAAAAAGAAGATAATTAAACATTTTCTAGACAGAAGATGAGAAGGGTTGTAATATATCTGAGAAAGTCATTTTTGATTGGGGGGTGTCTGTTTCAAGTTAGACCCAAGCACTTCGAAGGAACTTGAAAGGAAATTTCTGTACAGAACTAGTTTCATAATAATAAAAATCATACCAAATATTTCTGAGAAGTGAGAAATTGTGAAAAGTAAAATCTTGCTCTACTTTAAAAATAGAAATCTGGTAGAGCTGAGGGGGAAATCCTGTAGAATTGAGGAAGATATAATGTAGGGCTTTTTCAGAAGAAAAAAATTAAGGAAGTATAGAAGAATTAGGCAAAAAAAAGAATAAACAGAGGAGTGCAATGGGAGAATGAAGCAACTCACGGTCACGTGGCCCCTCCATTCATGTTTCCAGCTGGAGGAGGAAGAGGTTCTGTCCTTTTGGTTGGTTAAGGCTGGGTGGGGCAGCTGTCTTTAGCTTGCCAGCCCACGCTCCATTTGTGGGACTTCCTGTCGCCCCTGCATTTTGAAGGACAAAGTAGGACTATTGGTTCTCCAGAGCCATGGGCTACTCTTGATCTTATGGATGACCTGTGCCATTGCACTGGAAGAATTATTTAGATCAGATGGACCAAAGCAGGGAAGTTGGCCTTTAAAGGAACAAGTGACACCACAGGACTGGAGGGAAAGTGTCCCTCCTAATGCCTTTCAGGAGCCCAGAAGAGTAGGGAGAATGGACAGCCGAGGCATCCTTTGTTTGTGCTCCAGGTTACCAGTTCAGTTTCCTCAGGAAGGATCTAAGACGTTGAAAGATTGCTCTTTTTGTGTATGAGTGAGAAACCAAAGAGATGCCCACGTAACTGACTGGAGCATGTGCTGCCCAATCTGGCCTGTAAGCTGAAAAACGCTAGACAGCCAGTAGGCTTTGGAGGGGTCCTAGCTGTCGCTGTCCATCAGCTCAGGTCACCTCTCCCATTAGCATCCAGAGCTAGCTGGTTGTTTAGAGTTGTTTCTTTTCTTTTTTAAAACTTAGGATTAGTTTTCAAATGCTGAAGGTGTCTTGATCTTTAATTTTGGAAAGTCCAATGCCTGTAGCCTGCAGTGACTGCAGTTTTGTTTTGGGAGTAGAAACACTCTCTGCTTATAAATGTCATTTATAACACTGATCAATTATAATGTATTTACAAAACATACTAAGACTCTGCTAATGGAAAAACATATTAGGTAGCATTGTATTTTACCAGCTGTTATAAATATTTTTAGGGAAAAATCTGTGCTACTTTCGTTACATTAATATTGCTCAATTCATATAAACCAATTTTGCACACTGGTAGTATTCAATCCAAATGTGGACTGTCAACCATGTTCTCATCACTTAAATATTCATTAGGTACCAACCATATGTAAAACATAAAGACAAACATCATTTGTTGCTAACATTTATTTTTAATGATACCTATTTGGTGATTACTTATTGGAGTAAAATATATACCTGCCTAATGTCCATTATGCAGGCTCAGGGTTAGAGACCTGGGAATCAAGGAAATAGGTTCTATTCTTGGCATGCCCCTGACTTCTCTGTGACCTTGTCCAGTTATTTAATCTGTATTTCCATTTCCCTTCAGTAAATGGCAACTTCCGGGCTTCCCCTTTCCTCTGACTTACAGCTATGAAAGAGTTAAATGAGGAAATCACTTTAAATTATATTTTGTCTTTTAAAAAAAATAACTTGAAGTAGTTTCCCGGTTGTTAGATACTGATATTTCTCTTCTGCTGCTTATAATTTATAGAGCAATTTGACCACTAACTTTGAGGGTTAATGCCAAATTAATGAACTCTTGTATTTATGAAAGTAGAATACTTAAAAGAAAAATCTTACATGCAATGCTCTGGGATATAGAATTGACTTAGAAATTATTATGTTAATAATTACCAAGTAAGACACAAATACAGGGCTGGGGGTGCAACCTAGTGGTACAGCATTTGCCTAGCATGTGCTCCTCCTTCTGTCCCCAGCACCCCAATGGTATCAACCTGAACACACTCT